TCTCTCTCTCTCTCTCTCTCTCTCTCTGTCTCTCTCAAAAGTAATAAACACTCAAGGGCATCTGGGTGGCTCAGTCAGTTAAATGACCTACTCTTGGTTTCGGCTCAAGTCATGATCTCACGCCTCGTGAGTTTAAGCCCCACGTTGGGATGTGTGCTGACAGTGTGGAGCCTGCTTGGGACTCTCTCTCTCTCCCTCTCTCTCTGTTCCTCCCCTGTTTGCATGCTCTCTCTCTCTGTCTCAAAATAAATATTTAAAAAATTAAGAAGAAGGTGTAGAGATTTTCCATATACCTCCTGCCCCCACAAATGCATAGCCTCTCTTATTATCAGTATCCTCCACCAGAGTGGGACATTTGTTACAGTAGATGAGCCTACAGCGTCACATCATGACCACCCAAAGTCCGTAGTTTACGTTATGGTCCACTGTTGGTGTTGTACATATTATAGGTTTGGACAAAGGTATAATGGACATGTATCCATCATTATAGTATCACATAGAGTATTTTCACTGCCCTAAAAATCCTCTGTGCTCTGCCATTCATCCCTCCTACCCCAACCCCTCATCGCTCACCCCAACCCCTGCCTCACATGGCTTTTTAATAGTTGGTCCATCTTTGACTGGGTCATTGTCAAATTAGAAGTTTATAACTTGCCCTTTTTAAAAGATTCTTTTTTCTGATTTGTTTAATTTCTTGGTTAAATGTACTCCAGTGCCAGGTTGTCTAGATTCAGAATCCCTCTCTGTCGCTTACTGTCCCATAAATTTGGACAAGTTCTAAAACATCTCAGTGTTTCACCTTCCTCATCTGTGAAATGGGATGATGATAATACCTACCTTATAGAGTTACTGTGAGAATCAAATGAATTAACATAAAGCTAGATGCTCATTTTCATAAGAGACAACTGAAAATATTGATATCGGTAATTATTAATTAGTCACTATCCTTTTTTTAAGTTTTTAAATCTTTATTTATTATTTTTAAGAGAGAAAGAAGAGCCTGAGTGGGGGAGGAGCAGAGAGAAGGGGGCCAGAGGGTGTGAAGCAGCTCTGCACTGACACCAGAGAGCCCGATGTGGGGCTCGAACCCACAAACTGCAAGGTCATGACCTGAGTTGAAGTTAGAGGTGCAACTGACTGAGCCACACGGGCGTCCCAATCAGTCCCTAACTTAGGTAGTGTTTTAGTTACTTCTAGTTTAGGAGATCATACTCCAATGTTTATTCTGTTTCTCTTGATTAATAAATGGGCAGCGAGAGGGTAATAGCTCCAGTGACTGGTAGCATGACGCATGAAATAAATGACGTGATTGCTTTTATTATGTTAACACTTTGATGCATATTTACTTTCATTTTCCCATTTTAATTAACTTAAATTTCTCTGTTCTTTAATATTTATTTTGAGGTACTGACCAAAGAGCAGATTTGTACTTGGAAGGAAAAGACCAGCTTGGTGGTTGGTTTCAGTCTTCTTTATTAACAAGTGCGGCAACAAGGAAAAAAGCACCTTTTAAGTAAGTGTTCAAGCTGAGCTAAAGGTGTCCTCACGCTGTGAGGACCTGTGCGGCGCCCTGGCCGGTGCCAAGCCCCGTGCCGAGCAGTTATCCCGGCAGAACTCGCTGTGTTGTGCTTCGCAGATGCTGCATTTTTTTTTATAAATTGAAGGCTCAGGACCTCCGTGGAGGAAGTGCCTGCAGACGTGGTGGAAACGGCAGGAGAAGCAGAGCCACAAGTGGAGCCTGGAGACGGGACCGAATCGTGCAGTCTCGTGACACAGCTTTCACAGTGAGGAGCCACTTCTTACAGACGAACAAAGAAGGTGGTTTCTTGAGATGGAATCTACTCCTGGCCAAGAGGCTGTGCAGATGGTTGGAAAGGACAGTGAAGGATTTGGAGTATCACATGAATTTAGTTGTAAAGCAGTGGCAGGGTTTGAGGGCCTTGGCTCAGTTTCGAAAGGAGTTGTTCTCTGGGTAAAACGGTGTAAGACAGCATTGCGTGCCCAGAGAAGTGGTGTGTGAAAGGCAGGGTCAGGCAGTGTGCCCGACTTCACTGTTGTCTTTAAGAAATTGCCACAGCCACCCTCGCTGTCAGCGACCTCCACCTTGACCGGTCAGCAGCCATCAGCATCGAGGCAAGACCTCCCCCCGACAAGAACATTGCAGTTTGCTAAAAGCTCAGGTGATAGTTAGCGTTTTTTAGCAATAAAGTATTTTTTACTTAAGACATGTACATAGTTTTTTTAGACATAATGCTTTCGCACACTTCATAGAATACAGTAGTGTAGACATAACTTTTATATGCACTTGATCGCAGTAGTCTGGAGCCAAACCTGCAATATCTCCGAGTTATGCCTGGATATGATAAAGCACCTCCTTTGTTAGCTTAGTCTCTTGTTTCATGAGAAATGAGTTTGAAGTTAAAAAAAAAACAAACAGCAATACAGAGAAGTCTTGTCACTGACACAGACCGTAATTCCCACAAGAGGTAAAGTCAGCATCGACTGGAGGAGTGGGGAAATCTCCGAAGAGCTAGATCTTGAAATATGGGAAGACTTGACGTGGAGGATGGTACTCTGCGATGTTTGAAGACGGCCTGAGGTCACATCTCCTTGTATCTGTAATGTCCACAAGTGGCTAATTAACTGAAACATTCTTGTTTTGTTAAATTAGGTATTAAGTTACAGATAATTGGTTTTCCTTATTCAAGTGTGTGGATAGAGAATCGGAAAAATTTTTGAATAGCTTAAGATTTTTACTATCTTACAACGAAAACCCATCCCAGAACAATTTACATGTGTAGGTTTCTTGTATAACCTGCTTTTATTTGATTGATTGGTTAAAGATTGTAGTTTTTTTTTTTTTTTTTTTTTTTTTTTTTTTTTTTTTTTTTTTTTTTTTTTTTTTTTTTTTTTGAGTAATTTCTACCCCCAACACGGGGCTTGAACCTACAACCCTGAGATCGAGTTGCATGCTCCACTGACTGAGCCGGCCAGACACTACTATAACCTGCTGTTAGAAGCCAGTAGAACAGCAGATGTAGTTTTCTCACGTTGTCTTTTTGAAAATATTTTGAGGTGATAATCTGTTCTTTTTGAGACATAACAATACATAGTAATAAGACATTTTTCCTGGTTAGTTTTAATGACCAAAATGAAAACATCATAGATGCTCAGGAAAATATTTGTATAGTGAATGTAAACATCAAAATTTTTCTAGGTATGGGGCGCCTGGGTGGCTCAGTCGGTTGAGCATCCAACTCTTGATTTTGGCTCAGGTCATGATCCCACGGTCATGAGATCAAGCCCTGCGTCGGGCTCCGTGCTGAGTGTGGAGCCTGCTTGGGATTTTCTCT